CACTTTTAAATCTTGGAACGTGCTATAGTTATTACGCAAATTTTTAGGTGGATAACTAATTTCAGTTCTTGATGTTGCAGAGTACTATTACTGAAAACTCTATCTTTTGTCCTTGAAGATTTTTTGGCGTATTTTGGGATCACGACAGCCTCTGGTCGTTCACGCCTTTCCCTTGCCTTTCAGATTTTTTGTTGGCTAATTTTAAACGAGGCTCATGGAGCCAACTTTTGTTAAACCTTCCCTGTAATCTTTGTTGGAACATATAGTCTATTTGTTACTAATGCATGCACAACTAAGCCCTCTACAGAGATCCCGCGCAAGTCTCGCCACTTTCAGCCTCTCTGGTGAGTAACACTTTCTCCTCTTCCACGTCAGATCAATTTTTTTTCTACGCATTTGCAGCTGCTTTGAAAATGTGGAGATAGTGGGAAGTAGGAAGCATATGGCAACTGACGATTCATGACATTTATAGTTCAGCTGCTCTGTATATGAATTCTCACGAGTTGATTTTACCTCGTCATTGGCATCTAAATTACCACTTCAAAAACTCTCTTAATGTTATCGTTTGTGTTGTGTACCGCATCTAAATTTTCACTACAACAGTAAAATGTTACTACAATTATTTGATTGTTTGCATATGTAGTTTTTGTTACCTTTTCTTTCAGTTTCATCATGCTGTTACAAGTATATGATATATATTCTTGTGACATTTGTTGTTCTATGTAGATTTCATTATGTCATGTACAATTTGTATCGACGGTTCAAGAAAGAAATCAATCATAGTTTGTATTGTTTACAGAGCCACATTTCATTCTATGTGTATAGTATGCCCCTTTATCGACACCATATTTTTTCTGGAAAATTAATGCTTAATTTATTTATTGACACCATAGATTGTGATATCTATGGCTGTTTCCTTTTTATATTGTCACGTGATACCATTGTTTTACTACTAACCATGATCTGAAGGCGTATAAATATTTGTGCTTCATGATTTCCCCAAACATAATCCTCAAGAAAGTTTTGGTGTCTAAACACCTATTTAAAGAAAGTTTTGTGCTTCATGATCTGAAGGAGTATTTAATTATTTTATTTTTAGCAGTATTCCCGCAGCAACGCGCGGGGTGTCATCTAGTTATTCTAGTACGCCTACAAATGTTCGTGCTCTTTGGAAGCCACCGGATCCACGGTATATTAAAATAAATGTTGATGCGAGTTATGTGGAGAGCATGAGATCTGCTAGTGTTGGGGTTGTCGCTCGAAATCATCTAGGAGAAGTCCTGGTTTCTTCATGGGATTTTTACCATCATGCTCCGGTGTGGATGAAGTGAATCTTCGTGCGTGCCGCGCCGGTATATACATTGGTATTACTATTCATAAACCTATTATTTTGAAAATGGACCGTTCTTTTGTTGCATTTTTTCTTGCAAAAGAAACCATTTACAGGTGTCCACTGGCAGATCTAAAAAGGGAAGCGAAAAACGTCTCAAGATTGTAAAGATTGCTTGGCAGGCTAACAAGATGACGCATGAGATTGCAAAATTTAGCTTTGATAACAGGTTCGATGGTGTGATTTGTAATAGTTTTGCCCTGCATGGCAAACTATGTAATGAACGATTGTAAGAACATTGTTATTTGATCAATATACGGAGTTTTTTCAAAGAAAAGAATAATGGAGTTTTTTAGGGGTGGCCAAATAATGGAGTTTTTTTAGGGGGCCAAATAATGGAGTGAGAGTGAGCAATCTCTACGTGTTCGGCAAGTGGGCCAAAAGTGGCTGCGTAGGCCCATATAAGCCCATACGTGCGAACCAACTTCACAAGCCCACTAGCCCATTGCCTAAAAAAACAAGCCCACTAGCCCAGGTTGCGCCAGGCCGTCCGATCCTCGAGAAAACCATTTTTTCCTCTTTTTCGAGGACTCAAAAAAGAATGCCTGGTCGGTGGGTGCCGTATGCGTCCCGCCCGCTCCCGGGGTCGAACCGGACGGCCAGCCATAATAATCCGACCGAGCCAGCCAGCCGCCCCCCTCCTCATCGTCCTCCTCGGCTCGCCCCCGCGAAACCCTAGCCCGCCACCATGGACGGCTCCGCCTCCAAGGGCAAGCGCAAGCGCGGCCGCAAGAGCAAGGCGGCAGCGGACCACCCCTCGCCGTCCCCCGATGCCCCCGCCGCCGCGGTCGCCGAGAACCCCGCCCCCGCCGCCGCCGGCCGCCGCGGGCGCAAGCCGCGACGCGTGGAGGTCGAGGCCCCGGTTGCCGCGGACGCCTCCACGCCCCGGCGCGGGGACGCGAAGCACCTGGCGAACGGAGGGGACGCGGCGATGGCGGAGCTGGGCCCCGCCGGGTGGGAGGAGGTCGTCAGGGTGGTGCCGTCCATGGACGCGGTCGTCAAGGTGTTCTGCGTGCACACCGAGCCCAACTTCTCGCTGCCATGGCAGCGGAAGCGGCAGTACAGCTCCAGCAGCAGCGGCTTCATCATCGGCGGCCGGCGCGTCCTCACCAACGCCCACTCTGTCGAGCACTTCACCCAGGTCAAGCTTAAGAAGCGCGGGTCCGACACCAAGTACCTCGCCACGGTCCTCGCCATAGGCACCGAGTGTGACATTGGTGCGCACGCTCTCCCTTTCTCTAGCACCACATTATTCCTGTATTTCTTGTATTTAAGCTTAATCGCAGCACAGAACTTCAGCATGTAGGTCCCTCGTCTGAACTTTCTTGCTGTGGAGTAGTTGTATTAATTATGGTGTGAGAGTGAGACCTGACGTACAGTAGTTGCGACCACAATTGGTGGCCAAAAAAATTCTTATGAACTCAAATTTTAGGTATTCCCAAGGAAGTCGAACGTTTGGACTTGAAAATGCAGAAGCATGTACATACCTTGTGACTTTGATCATATGTTCTGTTAAAAGTTAAAACGAACTTCTATGTTTGCCTTATTGTTTTGTCTTAGCATCAGCTCTTGGAAATATTACAATGTTAAATCTTTGAACTTTTAAATGTCAGTGCAGCAGAAATTTATGTGTGCTTATTTTAGTATTCTAGCTCAGGGAGTATATTGCATATTTAAGTGGTCAGACCTGATAGGTGCAGATTTTCTTGTCCATATCTTATACGGGCTAACTTGAACTATTCTATCCATCCCAGCCCTGTTAACTGTCAGTGATGATGAATTCTGGGAGGGAGTTACACCAGTTGAGTTTGGGTCGTTGCCAGCACTTCAGGATGCAGTCACTGTTGTTGGTTATCCAATTGGAGGAGATACAATATCAGTGACAAGTGGTGTGGTCTCTAGGATAGAGATACTGTCCTATGTGCATGGTTCTACCGAACTTTTAGGGTTGCAGGTATGTTTTCTTCCCATTTCTCCTCTTCCCTTCATTTGCCTTCTATGATAGCTAGATTCGAATGTAACCTTTTGAGGAATCATAATTTATTTGGTAACCTATTATTAATACCTTTTAAATTTGCACCTTTTTCCTGTGGACAGATAGATGCAGCTATTAATTCAGGAAATTCAGGTGGCCCAGCTTTTAATGATAGGGGCATATGTGTTGGTATAGCTTTTCAGTCTCTCAAACATGAAGATGTAGAGAATATAGGTTATGTGATACCCACCCCAGTTATCAAGCATTTTATTCAAGACTATGAAAAATCTGGAGCATATACAGGTAAACAGTCATATCCCATAATTGTATGAAGATACATTTGATTATCTTGTTATGATCAATGTTTTCATTTTATATTGCTAGTCTTGAATACTCTGAACTTTGTTATGACATTCTTTTGAACCATTTAGCTGGTCTATTCGAACTTGTCGGATGATATTATAGGCATAGTTTTTACCTGGGCATGATCTGACTGTTCCCTATGACTTTGCAAGTGTTTAATTTGCGTTACCATTTGGTCTCGTAAGAGTGTTTCTCTCCTCTTATTTCATGTCCAGTGGTCGGATGATTGATATTGCTCGTGCAATCGTATTCGTTTGGGTTGGTTATGATGACATTAATTAATGAAGTAAAGCCAATATAGTGATAGAGTTTTATTCAGTATTTTCCCTATTCTTCTTATTAGATTCTGCATTCTGTCAATTATTTGCCTAGTCATTCTCTTTCAGTTTGTTCAATGCATTAACCGGTATTCTGCACTGTAGATGCATTATTTTGATTGTTGTGTCTCTTTTCCGTATTGTTTGATGTATGATCCAAATGAAGAAAATTCTATATTAAGAAAAAGTTTGTTTAATATTTGCCTTCATGTCAACCCACAGTCTAATGCTTAATATATGTTGTCCATTTCTATCTCTTTGATCTTATGCATTTGCTATGTGATTTGATTTTTATCTTTTGCGATATTGTTTCAGGTTTCCCTATAATTGGGATAGAATGGCAGAAAATGGAAAATCCCGATCTCCGGAAAGCAATGGGAATGAAACCTGATCAAAAGGGTGTTCGTGTTAGGAGAGTGGAACCTACTGCTCCCGAGTCTGGATGTCTGCAACCGTCAGATATTATTCTCAGCTTTGATGGAGTTGACATTGCCAATGATGGTACAGGTTAGTGTATTGGAACTTGTTAATTCAATGCCCTATATTTTGCTCTACATGGTATTATACCTGTAGGATACCAATTGCTTTAGTTAGTAGTACTTATTATCAGTTCCACAGTCTTCTATTGCTCTAGATGCCTACCACTTTTATCTCTTATTGGATTCGTTAAGTCTTTGTTATTTTGTTAATAGAAATTCTTTCTCTCTGGTGTCTAATGACGGTTCTGACTGAAATCATAATTCACATAGCTTGTAACACTACAATTTCTGATTTTTATACATGTAGCATGTTTGCAGCTGGCCAACCAGGATTTTTGTTTCCATTTGAATCTCGTAGATACATGGATGTTGTCAAATTTTCTCATGTGTTCTAAAAATATTCTTGCGGGGTTTATATTGGCGAATTTTTCTTTCTCTGTATTAACTCTGTAGCATCTTAATTAAACTTAATTCCTGAGCAAATCAAACATTCTCACTTAAAACAAGATCACTTATTTTTATTTACTTACCCCCCTTTTTTGTCAATAGTTCCTTTCAGGCATGGCGAGCGAATCAGCTTTAGTTACCTTGTTTCTCAGAAATATACCGGTGACAAAGCCCTTATCAAAGTCCTGCGCAACTCAAAAGTTCATGAATTTAAAATAAAGCTAGCGACCCACAAGCGGCTCATTGCAGCTCATGTCAAGGGCAGGCCACCATCATATTACATTGTTGCTGGCTTTGTTTTTGCAGCTGTCTCTGTTCCATATCTCCGTTCTGAGGTTGGTATCTATCTTCTTTTTGCATCCTGTTCCCTATGCATTGAATATAATCAACAAGCAAGAGTTTAATCCTTGTACTCCTAGGCTGTCTGTGTCTTGAATTTCAATATGATTTCTTTGGATCCTGATTTTCTTGATCTTAAAGGGAGTCAGTAACGAATAGAGGTCCTGTGCACTACTATCAAATAGGATTTCGATGAAAATCATTCACCTGCAATGTTTCAGCGCTTATACTACTCTGGTGTTAATGTTGTCAAATTGTGTAGCACCAGCTAACGATAACCTCTTTGATATTCGAAATTCACATGCATAGAGCTCTTAGTAGTGAGGGGTGCTCTAGGCAGCTAATTTCGTTTCTTAGATGTAATTAAGAATTTAAAATTAGAGTACCTGTAACAAATTAAGCTGTGTTTCAGCTACTGTCTGTATAGGTGCAATCTCTGATAGTTACCATGCAAAGAAGTTGCTTGATTTCTATTCTGGTCTTGATATTATAAAGCAGAACTAGGGCTTATCATTTTTCGTGCAACTGTTCTTAGAAAATCTCCCTAGGAAACACCATACACAACTTTTATCTAATTCTACCTTTTATACTCTTATGCAACTGCTTTCATCTCTGTGAACTTAATTCTATTTAAAGAGAATGCTAAATGGACATAAAAAGATACTTCCTTAAGCTTCTTGATCTACTTATTTTTCAGTATGGGAAAGACTACGAATATGATGCACCTGTCAAGTTGTTGGTCAAGCATTTGCATTCAATGGCGGAATCACCTGATGAACAGCTGGTGGTGGTATCACAGGTTATAAGTTCTCTCCGTGTTATCTCTGTTCTGATACGAGTGAAGTATTCATTTATAGCTCCATAAAGAACTATAGTTTCTTTCATCTCCTAACGTGACTGTATGCATTGAACCCTTGCAGGTGCTTGTGGCAGATATCAATATCGGTTATGAAGATATTGTCAATACGCAGGTAACAGAAAAGTTCTGGATCCATTTGCATGTGTTACTTTTGTTGATTCTAGCAGTTCCCTCCAGACATTTTGCATTTTTTGCTGCTGAAGTATATATACTGATGCACTGGAATTCTGCCAGCCTCCTACTCTTTACCCATGCATATATGATGCGGTGTTATTACCTTTAAATATATATTTCTGTAGTGAAGCTTGAAGTCTAATATATTTGTCAGATAGGCGTTCTCAGTGCTATGTTGTCATCACAGTTCCTCTTTTTTTTTGGACAGTTGATTCTGAAACCTAATGATTAACACTGCATGTAGGCTCTGACTTCTCTACTTTAGTTTGGTGAGGGGTGACTTATAACCCTTTATTGTCATCTTGTTGATAGGTCCTTGACGTTAATGGTCATCCTGTGAAAAAATTGTCAGATAGGTGTTCTCAGTGCTATGTTGTCATCACAGTTCCTCTTTTTTTCGACAGTTGATTCTGAAACCTAATGATTAACACTGCATGTAGGCTATGACTTCTCTGCTTTAGTTTGGTGAGGGGTGACTAAAACCCTTTATTGTCATCTTGTTGATAGGTGCTTGCCGTTAATGGTCATCCTGTGAAAAATTTGAAGGACTTAGTGACAACAGTGGAAAATTGCAAGGATGAATTCTTGAAGTTTGATTTGGAGTATGACCAGGTAAGCCCTGATTTATTTATTTCGGTTTTTCTGTTGTAAACATCTGTCACACCCCATGTTAACTAAGTCCCTGGGTAAACGCAGATTAATGGTCAGTTTTTTCTGAAATTCTACCAGTAGTTCGTCATGATTAGTCAGAGTTTCTCAGTAACGCTACTAAGATCAAGCAAGTTGAAAGATAGTGTTGACAAGTAGCCTCATACTGGATGTTGATTTCGAGTTTATGTATCTTTGCAGCTTTACTTGAGCTAATACCCTCTTTTAAGAATATATGTGGCTTACTTTTTCTGTGCTAAAATCCCCTTGGTCTCTTCTAATTGATGATGCGGGGGTGGTATTGTCGTGACATAACAATAATAACAAAAATAATTAGTGATGGCAAGGCATGATAGCTCTTCTTTTCTTGCAAAATCAATGACAGCAAGGTCCCTGTGTTAATGCGGGATGTAATCAAGTAACCAATTTATATGATTTGACAGATCGTTGTCCTGGAGACAAAAACTGCCAAGGCTGCTACCGAGGACATTCTGACAACGCACTGCATACCGTCGGCCATGTCTGATGACCTGAAGACCTAATGGAGAACAAGATGCAGCTATCTAGTGGCCCCGATTGGGGTCACTTTTTTTTGGTTGAACACCAGCCCGGCAACGGCAGAAGCCTGAGTTTATGCATCCAGGCCTTCCGGGGCTCCTGGGTGTGAGAGAGCTTCACCAAAGAAGGCTGAGGGTAAGTGGGCGTCACATCAGCATAAGCTGGAGCGGTGTCCAGCAGGAGTCATCATCAAAGTGATAGTGGTTAATTGATAACCATGGTTTCATTTTTTTCAAAATTAAATTAAATTATTGAGGAGAAGAGAAGCTCATATTTTTGCCTCAGCCCCACCGGAAAGTCCAATACACCCTCGTCACCAGTTACAATTTATCAATGATATAGGTTACCATCTGCTCCCTCGTTTTCACATTTGTCTGCTGGGTGCATAAGGTGGCTGCCGGCTACTGACATTGTTTGAGTTTTAGTTCCCAATCTTTTCTGCTTGGGCACTGACATTTTGGCTTCGTCTTCGTTACTTGGAATAGGAGCTGGCTTCCGGTTCCGGCTCAATCAAGCAGGGGCTTTCATCCTCGTGCTGCATTTGCTGCCATTTCTCAAAACGTTGCGTCTCTTGCTTCCCTTGAGCGGCATGCTTTTCTTGGCTGGTGGCCTGTCCCGTTCCCACGCCTTTATTTCGATATAAGACCTGCCGATGTCGACAGGCCGGTAAGCCCAACCAGTGAGGAAAATACGCTACGGTTTTTTGCGTGGTTCGTTGTCGTCCGGGTCAGCTAGTAGGTCACTCGCTCCTGCTAGTATCTTTTTGTCTGTGTGAGAGGATCCACAAGATTGGGATGGTTGGTACTAGTTGGTACGGCAGCATAGCCACTGCCTGCCTAGCTCACTCACTGGTTCGTTTGGTTCACAAGTTGGGCCGGCTGTTTACAGTTTTGTAGTACTGCCTTGTCTGCTGCATTGACTGGGAAACGAGACTTGGATTGGTTGGCTGGCGGCGAAGGCTCGGTCTCATCAGGTACGTGTACTGCACCCACTTTCCTCAAGGTTGAAGTAGTAGAACTGATCTGGTAAATAAAAGCCATAATAAAGGGCGGGAGCGGCCAGTGGTTGTGCCAACATTTTACACCGTACCACTGAACCGAGCACCGCCGCTGCTCGAGAATAGCTACGTTCGAACCAGGTACAATGAACGAGCGTCTCCCATTTCGCCACCATAGGGCCAAACCTCTTTGGATTGAAGGATTTTCATAGGAATATTGAAGGATTCCAATTCATTGGATTTTTTCCTAAAAAAGCCCTTTGGATCAAAGGAACCACACCTCCAAAATTCCTATGGATGCATTCCTACACCTCAATCCTATAGGAATTTCAACATCCACTATAACCTCTTTTTTACACTGATTCGCGTAGGATCGAGGCACTTTTTCTGTGTTTTTCCGGTGTTCCATCCAAATGACCATTCTTGTAGTTTTCCTCTATTTTGTAATCCTCTGTTTTGCACCTACAATCCCGTCAAATTTCTGTGTTTTTTGAATTCCTTTGTTTTCTAATCCTGTGATCCAAAGAAGCCCATAGATGGCATACGTAGTACTTCCTCCGTTCTTAAATATTTGTCTTTTTAAAAATTTCAACAAGTGACTACATACGGAGCAAAATGAGTAAATCTACACTCTAAAATATGTCTATATATGTCTGTATGTGGTAACCATTTGAAATCTCTAAAAAGACAAATATTTAGGATCGGAGGGAGTAGAACCGTGGAAATCGCATGAGTGACATGAAGGCGAGCAATTCGCCCAGCTTGAAGAAGGCGAACATGGCGCAAACGTACGTACTCACACCGTTCCAACCAATCTTCTCTTATAAAAACGAAACGCGACGGACGGACAGACAGCCATCGACCCGCCGTCGCGAGCCTTTAAAAAGGGTAGGCGTGCGCTCAACGAAGAAGGCGACGAGGGGTTAAGGGCCAACGTACCGCCACCCCCTCCCACTCCCAGATGGTGCCGAGGCAGACACACACCCGAGCGGCTTAGTAGGTGTAAAGGACGTGGCGCCACTGAATAAGATGCCACGTAGAGCACCTGTGCGCGGCTCCACGGTGAGCAGTGACGCCGAGACCGACGAGGGAGGAGAAGAAGAGAACGGGCGGAACGAAACAAACGGCACGTGCAACAGTTGCCGGTCCGAACGAATGAACGTGCCCTGGTCCAGTGCCTTCGAGAGCCCCCCTCGGGCGTGATGGGCACAGTGTTCGAGGAATTGTTGATGGTCCTCCCACCCCCATCCCCTGGCGGCGTGCCGCTGCCATGCCATGCCATGCCAATGCCGTGGTCGGCTTGCGCGGGCCGGGCCAGACATGGGCGGCAGCCTGGACGCGCGCACGCGAGTGGCGTCGCGTCGCGCTTCCTTTTTGCTGTAGAAACTCGGCCGGCACGACACGAGGGGGCCGGCGCATCGCGCGCGCCCGGCCACGTGACGCTGTCACGTACCGGCGGTGCTGGTTTTTAATCGCGGGGAGAGGAGGGGAGGGGAGTGACCCACGGCGCACGGCGCGGGAGCCCGTGCGCGCCCTGCCCCGCTCCGCTACGGTCCGGATCGGATCGGATGGATGGCCCATCCATCACTTCACTTGGCGCCCGTGCTTGCGGCCGCGTAAATGGCAGCATGCGTGCGGTGGGTGCGATCCGCCGATGGAGTAGGCGGCATCTATTGCATGCCGCGGACAACAATACAAAAAATGAGAATAGGCAGCAGCGTCGCCTTCTCCTCCACGGCAGCAGCAGCAGCCAAAGGAAGGCAGGCTTCGGGAGCACGGCGGATCCGTCCATCCGGTCAGGCCGCATGCAGCTATGCAGACGCGGCCGAAATGCACGGAGGACTGACACGGTGGCGCTGTGCGCTGAACTTGACTTTAGCAAGCTTGGCTTGCAAGCCTGCCTTGGGATAACTGAACTCTATCTCGATCTCCTCTGCCACCGTGCTAAACTGCTAGTAGTAGCACACTAGTACCCTACCCACTAGCTGAGTTAAAATCTTTAGTGCAGTTCTCTAGGAGTAGTGGCTAGCAAGAGGGAGAAGCCAAATTAAGGCCCTGTTTGGATACTCTAACTGGGTTAAAGGTTAGAGTTAGATTTCAACCATGAACTAACTCTAGCCAAAGAGGTGTTTGGATGACAGGGTTAGATAGAGCGTGGATACGGCGAAGCGCCTTCACGGACGTTGCGAGAGGGAAAGAGAAAGAGGACGAAAAGCTTTGAGGAGGTGGGGAGGGATCTATTGCGAGGAGAGCGAAAGAGAAATATGTTTTTTAGTGCTCCGGAGAAGAACTAACCCGAATAAACACCTTTTGGGTGGGTTAGATTTTTTGGATGGGTTAGATGCATCTAACCCAAACTAATCCTTCTGTTTGGATATCTTTGGGTTAGACCCAAACTAACTCTAACCCATGGATCCAAATAGGGCTATATTGAGCGAGCGCGATGACGAGATCTCGGCCTGGGCTTCGAGTATGAACGGAACGAGGCCGGGATAGCGCAGAGCAAACGCCGCAAATCTTGCACCGCAAGGAACGTTTTGCTTTGCTAGTCTTCATCCCCGTAAAGAAGATGTCCTGTCACCCCGTAAAAAAATGTATTGTGATTTTATTTGATTTTTGCAAATCGAAAATGTATCTTGAGTTTTTTATTTTGCATGAAAAAAATGTGTTGTGAGTTGCGAAACGCGGATACGCGTCGACCGAAGAAGATGCCGACGTGTCCTCAGCTACGCGCAGCATGGCACGTACCCCGGTACTATGCCACATCGACCAGTGATTATTATACCATTCCCGCAAAAAATGTGATTATTATATAGGAGTAGTTATTATATGCCGTTCTGGGCAGGCAGAGGCGGGGGGCACGCACACGCGCACGAATCAGCAGAAAGCGCTGCCGATCTGCCAGGGACACGACCAGCTGGCATGCATGCATGCACAAACGCACATGTAAATCCAAGCCTTGTCCGTCCGTCCGTCCTAATTAATCACGGTGGCCAGAGAAGAGAGAGCGAACATGAAGGAAGAGCGTGCGTTGATGACAGGAAGCCAGACGTTTTTGTCTCCGTGCACCAGGAGCTCGCTTGGATATATTTTTCCTCGCGGTCGACCAACAACAAAAAACAACAACAAAGCCTTTAGTCCCAAACAAGTTGGGGTAGACTAGAGGTGAAACCCATAAGATCTCACAACCAACTCATGGCTCTGGCACATGGATAGCAAGCTTCCACGCACCCCTGTCCATAGCTAGCTCTTTGTCGATACTCCAATCCTTCAGGTCTCTCTTAACGGACTCCTCCCATGTCAAAATCGGTCGACCCCGCCCTCTCTTGACATTCTCCGCACGCTTTAGCCGTCCGCTATGCACTGGAGCTTCTGGAGGCCTGCGCTGAATATGCCCAAACCATCTCAAACGATGTTGGACAAGCTTCTCCTCAATTGGTGCTACCCCAACTCTATCTCGTATATCATCATTCCGGACTCGATCCTTCCTCGTGTGACCACACATCCATCTCAACATACGCATCTCCGCCACACCTAACTGTTGAACATGTCGCCTTTTAGTCGGCAACACTCCGCGCCATACAACATTGCGGGTCAAACCGCCGTCCTGTAGAACTTGCCTTTTAGCTTTTGTGGCACTCTCTTGTCACAGAGAATGCCAGAAGCTTGGCGCCACTTCATCCATCCGGCTTTGATTCGATGGTTCACATCTTCATCAATACCCCCATCCTCCTGCAACATTGACCCCAAATACCGAAAGGTGTCCTTCCGAGGTACCACCTGGCCATCAAGGCTAACCTCCTCCTCCTCACAGCTAGTAGTACTGAAACCGCACATCATGTACTCGGTTTTAGTTCTACTAAGCCTAAACCCTTTCGATTTCAAGGTTTGTCTCCATAACTCTAACTTCCTATTTACCCCTGTCCGACTATCGTCAACTAGCACCACATCATCCGCAAAGAGCATACACCATGGGATATCTCCTTG